CCTGATCTTAATGCTATTGAACTAGCCTAGCCATAGCTCAAACAGCGTACAACTTCTCGAGGGGCACCCCAGGATAAGAAGACAGGGAAGGAGGCATAGATAAAGGTATGGAATAATCTTCTGCAGGAGCATATTTAGCAGTGGATTAAGTGTCTTATACACTATATCTAGGTCATCATTAGTCTAAATAGAGGTAATGAATATCAGGAGGGCCAAACAGGCAAGGATAATCATAATTAGAAGGGCCATTAAGCAAAGGGTACTATCTCTTATAGGCAAGATATTAGTAAACTAGCCTAGGAAGATATTTTGCCGCTGTTTGAATAGCTTTAATATTCAATTCTTAGGAGTTGAAATCAATCAAAGTAATCTACTATATAAATTACTATGTAATGTTGCTTGGTCTTATTACCTTGCCAAGCTTACTAGCAGCTAATGAGTTCTGCACCACACCTCCGTACCTACTACCAGTACTTACTTAGGTGGTTGGTTCCAGCTTAAAAGCGATAATAGGTAGGTACCTAATCATTAGGTAGGTTCAAGCATACCCCGTACAGTACGATAACTATTGAAGCCCCTTGAAATCAAAGGTTGCGCCCGGCCTCATTTGATCTACAATATGCATGTATTTTTAAGAATGCCTGTCTGCCCTTTGACGAACTATACATAGTATTGCAGATAAGAAAATAAGAGTTAGTCTAAATGCTACCTATATAGCTGCCATAGCTTGGATGTTATTGTGTCCAATGTATATTAAGGTGACGTGGTGTTCACAGGGACGAACAAAAAGGGTGTAAGGCAGGTAAGAAGAAAATGCCCATGTTCTTTCCGGAGTTTACCCTTGGTCGACTTTGGAGTTCTCTTTCACAACCATAACTTAGCATATATTTCAATGTTACCACCAATTGATCTGATGGTCATTGCAACCCGTTATCTGCGGCCCTGCTGTCCCTGTTGACGAGGTCATCCCATGCCGCAAAGATGTCGGACAGTGTGTCCACAACGCCCCAGTCAAACCCCGCGTCCCGATCTATCTTTCCCAAGGGCCCCAATTTTACTCTTTCTGACTTCTCAAGCCGCGATTACATCGTCAAAGAGTTTATCGAGGCGCTTTCTGACAGTACTACCTCAAATCGACGTTCTACGCTTGGACCTGGTCCCGGCAACCAGCTTTTTGATCCCAAACCACTGATTCGAGCATTCGAGCATGCTCAACGACGACTTGGTGAACTTTCTGGTGATCTTGAAATCAAAGAGAACGAGCTATCGGCTGCAGCTCGAAGAGCCGAGGCGCAGCATGCGCAAAATCTCGGCACATTGGGTAGAAAGTTGAAGCAGACCATCGATTCCTTCCAGCTATTGGATACGTCTCTAAATGGAGCAGGGCTATCGGGAGGTGACCTCGCTGGAGCGACCGGGAATATGGCTGTTGAGACAGGAAGAAGGCTAGAGGAGTTAGACCGACAGAGACGCCGAGCCCTTGATGCTCATTTCCTGATTCAATGTTGGGATGGAGTAAGTAACAGAGGAGAGATAACACTCCTAGATAACTTAAGGAAGTCGGGGACTGGTGAAGCCAAAGTCAGATCGGCACATATTGCGCGACAGTTGCTCAGGATAAGTCAAAGACTCGATCCCCGCAGTTGGGATGAATTGAGAGCGAAGAAAGACGACCTGTACCGGAATGACGACGTTTCTGTCGACGAAGGCACAAGAGGAAACATCAATGGAATTCATCGAAACACGAGAGAGATAATTGAAAAGTTCTCCGAGACTCTCGAGAAAGATCTTCTGAAGCAGTTCGATGATTTCTACCGCAAGGCAAATTTCGAGGGCATGAGAGACTGCGCGACTGTGCTTCAGGACTTCAGCGGAGGCGCAAGTGTGACCGCCTTGTTTGTTAATCAACACCAATTCTTCATTGATCGAAGTCAGCTAGTGACAGAAGAAGTGGGCGGGGATTTGAACAGCTGGGAACAATTGGCGGATCCTGACGCCGAACCCCTGAAGGTGGAACCAAGCCTTCAATCGCTAGTTGATGAGGTTAAGGTGGTCGTGCAGGAAGAATCGGCCATCATCAAGCGAGCTTTCCCTTTCTATGAGCAGGTGCTGAGCAAATTCTTACAACGTGTCTTTCAGCAGTCCATCCAGCAGAGACTGGAAATGGTTCTGGAGAAAGCCAATGGCATCTCGTCTTTAGCCTTCCTCCGATCGCTACAGAGTTCTCGCAGCTACATTAGCGGCTTGGTCGACGATCTCAAGACTCATGGCTTGACTGAACATCCGGACCCTGTTTCGTCTCAAACAGCCTTGATTTTAGATCAGCAGCTGGAAGATTTGTTTGTGCCATATTTTGTTGGATCATCATACATCGAAAGGGAGAAAAAATCACTCGAGGAGTTGTACACGTCATTGTTGTTCAGGTTTACTACTTTTCATGCTCGGAGGAAACGAGCAGCGACGACGTTTATGGCATCAATTTCCAAGTCTGGAACTGAGCTCCTTTCTTCTGCTCGGGACGCTTACGTCAATCGCCTTGAGTCCTCGGAATTCACGCCCACTCAAAAGAAGATGCTCCTTCAGTTGGCCGGGTTGAAAGATCAAAGCGACTCCATGAAGCCCGCTGAGATCAAGCTGATGGAGCAGGATGGTCTTCCTAATATTACCTATGCCAAGAGGATGTTGAAATGGCTGGCTGAAGCAGTTGGACGCGGCTTGGAACTGGGCGCCACCAGCGAGACCCCAAAGGATGTGTCTGCTTTGTTGAGTCTGCTGTTGTCTTCGATGGGCGAGAGCTATGTCGAGGTGTGTCTTGACGCTGTCTTGGAGTCTGCAACGTCTCAGGAGTCTGCAAGGGCAGAGCCTGATTTTGGCTATCTTACTGTGGTCAAAAGCATTATCAGCATCACCAACTTGATGGTGATGTGTATACAAACGTTGCTAATTCCTCTTGCAACTCCCAGTATAACAATTCGCCGGGAAATGGAGAAGAAGACGAATGCAGCGACTTTACGCATAGAAGATAAAATAAACGCGATTGAGCAGAAGGTCGTTGACACGGCCTTGATGTGGGTTAACAGGTTACTTTCGGGACAGAAGAAGAATGATTTCCGGCCCAAGGAAGGAGATAATGCAGCTTGGTTGGAAATGTTACACACACCAGTAAGTCACTGAGATGCTGAAATGTGAATCTTTCACCCGGGAATTATATTGACCTTGTCCTAGACGTGTGCGTCAATATGTGCTTTCTTAACCCGGCTGCATGACACTATCGCAGCAACGCTATCCTCCAGTGGTTCCAACTTTCGTTATTTACTCACAGAGATTGCGCTTGGGACCCGGAGCCATCTCCTCGAACATTTCAAGCGATATGCCGTCAACGGGGCTGGAGGCCTTATGGTCACTAAGGACATGACACAGTATGCAGATCTGCTCAAGTCTTGGGACATCGACGAACACATCAAAGGACCAGGTGGTTCCCTGGACGTTCTGCTAGAAGTTGGCAGTCTATTCGTCATTGGGCCAGAAGCTTTGCGGGAGAGAATTCGTGGGGGGGCCAGCTCTAACGCAAGCAGACGGCCAGGGACTACTCGTACTGAGACTGAACGGGAACAGGAGCTAGTCGGGACTGGCCAGATCGAGCCAGGCCTTAGTGTACAGGAGATCAGAGCTTACGTGTCTCGAAGGGAGGATTCCAGCACTACAGCAATGCAACATGTGCTCAACCTCTTGTGATTTCATGGAACTGTTCACGTTCTAGCGGCAGGTAAACGGCCTCCTTTTTATTGCTCTGAAAATCCATTGATCGAAATAACATCTTCCGTAACTCATTGTTCATTCTGAAGATTAGTCATTTTCCGCTTGCAATGTAAATATTTTGGCTTTAATCCCTAACTAGGTCTATCTTCTTCCTGAGGTGTAGATAGTGGAGGACCAAGAGAACAGGACAACTCTGGAAATCTTGACGTTTCCCAGGATCGAAAAGGATGTAGTTGAACAAAACAAATAATCGTATCACGATCTTCCCTAAGCTGCAGTTTTCTTTACATCATCAATTCGGTTCTAGTGAAGGTCTACGGAAAAATGTTTCTTGAAGGTGGAATTTCTAAATAACAAGTGCAGCGCAGATGAAATATGACGAATTTCCTACTGTCATTGAATGATGGCCTTGCCAGTGGCTTTGATCTATCATTAATTCAGACTATGATGCTACGGTTGTTATGGCTGAAATTTGTGGCATGGCTGTGTTTGCGGACGAGCTACTCCGTACCTTGAGCTTCATTCACGCCGACAGTACATTTTGTAGCCATTGAACATGATCATAGCTCTCTGAGCCCATACCTTCCGTGAGAATATATCATTTGGCTGGCGAATATTTAGGCATCAGCAGAGTATCTAGACCTTGTCCCGACACTAGCACGGTCTGAGACAGCCTATGTTGCACTGATACGGCAGTCGCATTTGGAACTCATGGTCTTGGCGATGAAGAAACTATTGCCCAGGTCATGATCCAAATTCGGACATTTGAGAGCAGGACACAAACTGATACCATCCAGACATCATAGGCAACTGTATTCTCGACTTTTTATCCTTCATTGAAGGAAGCAAACTCAATATTATCCTACAATTAATATCTATCCTTACAATTAAGATAGTAAGTATATTTTTAGAGAGCAAGAGCTCAAAGCGTGCAGATAAAAGTTCAGCACGTGACCGGGCAGCTAGGAGACTACGCAACTGGCGAGCTTCAAGGTATCAGCACGCAAGCGCGGCTCCGCAGGCGTTGGTCAGAAGAAGGCTAATGCTTGACCACTCTTTTGCAATTCAACGTCTTGGACTGTTATAGCAGAAATACTGCATGTCCAGTTTCACTACTGTTGCGTTTGCTCTCACTCCGCTTTACATAGGCCGCCTCGCAACCTTGCTGTCAGCTTCTTGCTGTCATTCTCTCTGACAAGCGTCGTCAGTAGTCTTCGTGGATTGTCCTATGGTCCGCTACCATGATTACTCGATGGCTACTGATCACAAGCTTCCTGGCATTAGCCATCTTATCGCAGTCTAGCGCTGCGAAGAAGTCAGAACCAGAAATCACTCCGTCATCCTTCGACAATGAACCCTTCTCATTGTTCTATTTCGAGGACACCGAAACAATACTCATGAACACACGAGATGGCGATCTTTTGCGCTCGTTCGATGGAGGTAAGGGCTGGGAACAGGTGGATGACCCAAATGGTAAAATGAAGAAGCGTGTGCTTTCCATCTGGCAGCACCCGTTTGACAATAATAGAGCCTATGCCTTGGGTGCGAATGGACGTCACTGGGTGACAAAGGATCAAGCTAAGACTTGGGAATCTTTCGAGGTCGACGGATACCCAGCCACCCAACACGAACCTCTCATTTTCCATGGCTGGGATTCTGCAAAGGTCATCTTCCAAAGTGATGAATGTATGGGACGGTTTTGTATAGTGAAATCATACTATACTACCGATGATTTCAAAACCGTCTCGCCACTACGGGTCAGTGCTGGTGGATGCGCGTGGGCTGTTGGACATCCACAATTCGCCGAAGGATTGAATCTTCAAGAGGAACTCCGTGATCGCGTTCTCTGCATAGTGCCTGGCCTGAAAGTGCCATCCGCACATGCGAATCGCCTTGTGTATTCGGACGACTTCTTCAGAAGCGATGCGGAAGGGACGGAGCTGAACATTCAACAGGGACGACCTGTTTCGGGTATACTCAGCGTCGCTGCTGTCAAGAAGTTCTTCGTGACAGCAGCAAAATCTCAAGGGACAAATGAGCTGGCTCTTTACGTCACGCTAGATACCAAGGCCTGGCATCGGGCAGACTTTGGAGGTCATCGAGTGGAACAAGACGGTTATACACTGCTGGAAAGCACGAACTATAGCATGCAAGTGGACGTCCTGACTAGCCCCTCTAGCAATACCGGCATACTATTCACCTCGAATTCTAACGGTACCTATTTCACGCGTAATGTCGAACATACAAATCGTGATCGCTTTGGCCACGTGGATTTTGAAAAGATAGCAGATATCCAAGGTATTGTGCTGGTCAATACAGTGAAGAACTGGGACAAAGTTGAATCGGAAAATGAGAAGAAGGTTGTTAGCTCAATTAGTTTTGATGATGGACGGACTTTCCAGTCCCTCAAAGTTGGCGACAAGCAGTTGCACCTACATTCCGTGACCACTTTTGCCAACACGGGTCGTGTTTTCTCAAGTCCCGCTCCGGGCCTGGTGATGGGTGTTGGTAACACAGGCGGCCACCTCAAAAAATACTCAGAAGGTAGCCTTTATGTCTCAGATGATGCTGGCGTGACTTGGCGCCATGCGCTTGACGGTCCATTCAAGTACGAGTTCGGTGATCAGGGTTCGGTGATAATGGCTGTCAGTGACAAGGGAAGCACAGACGAAATTCAGTTCTCAATTGATCATGGGAAGGAGTGGCACTCTACCAAACTTCAACATAAGATTTATCCCAAATTGCTGACAACGACGCCCGATTCTACCAGCTTGACTTTCCTTCTTGTTGGCTCAGAGGAAAGTTCGGGAACAAAATATGTTGTTTACTCCATCGACTTCAGCGGTCTTCATGAAAGAAAGTGCGAGAAAGATGATTTCGAAAAGTGGACGGCCAGATTGAACGAAAACGGTGAACCAGACTGCTTGATGGGACACCAGCAATTTTTCAACCGGAGGAAGGCCAACGCGGACTGTTTTGTGGACGAGGAATTCAAAGATCCGCAGCCCATTTTCGAACCATGCAAATGCTCATTTGAAGATTTCGAGTGCGACTTCAACTTTGTGCGCAGTGAAGATGGAAAGAGCTGTGTCCCTGCAGCCCCGCTAGTGCCCCCCTTAGGCAAGTGCCAGAAGCAGACCAATACGTTCATGGGACCGTCAGGCTGGAGGCTCATTCCAGGAGACACTTGCAATCGGGAGGGCGGCGAGAATCTCGATAAAGACATCGAGAGGCCTTGCAAGGATGTAGTTAGCGCACCTTCACACGACCAACTGATGGCACAGAAGCAGGTGTTTAATGACGCGAGACAATTTAGTGAGCAATATTATTACCTTGAACGCCAAGCAAGCAGCAGTGGAAATGATGAGACCGTCATAATGCTTACCAGCGAGGGTGAATGTTGGGTTTCTCATGATCATGGCAAAAGTTGGGAACAACCTCTTAAAGGCGTGAAGATTGCCGCCATTGTCCCTCATCCTTACTACAGTGATGGGGCGTTTCTCCTTACTCGCGACAAACAGGCTTTCTGGACCGTCGATCGTGCCTATACCTTCAAATCCTTCGAAGCACCGATCCCACCTAATCAGGAGGGCTTGCCAGTCCTTTCTTTTCACTCCCAGTACAAGGACTGGTTGATTTGGACTGGGGCAGTTGACTGCGGTCACGGCGATTGCCACTCCGATGCTTACTTTAGCAAGAATCGGGGGGAGAACTGGGATCTTCTCCTCCGCTACGTTGGAAAGTGTGAATTCGAGAGCCGCGAGAACAGGCCGGACAGTGAAAAGCTTATATTTTGCCAGCAATATGAGAATGAGAACAAGAAAAACCACCTACAGCTGCTGTCTAGCAAAAACCTATTCTCTGACAGCCACGTTCATTTCAACGATGCGATCCGGTACGCTACAATGTCTGAATACATAATTGTAGCCTCGCGGGACCCGGACAATCCTGATTCATTAGTTGCCAGCATCAGCGTCGACGGCAAGACATTTGCGCGAGCCGAATTTCCTCCAAATGTTGATGTACCCGTCAAAACAGCTTTCACTGTTCTGGATAGCTCGACTCATGCCGTTTTCCTGCATGTCACCGTGAGTGACGTCAAAGGAGCTGAGTATGGCTCAATTATCAAGAGCAACAGTAATGGAACGTCCTATGTCCTTAGCCTCAACGCGGCGAGCAGGAATGAATGGGGCTACGTTGACTTTGAGAAGATGCAAGGTCTAGAAGGAGTAGCGGTTGTGAACATCATCAGCGATGTGGAGGCCGTATTGAAGAAGGGACCAACCGCAAAGAAGTTAAAGACGATGATCACTCACAATGATGGTGGCCAGTGGATGTTACTCCCTCCTCCAGCAAAAGACGCCGATGGTCAAAACTTTGGTTGTTCAGTCAAAGATAGGAAAGGCAGTGATCAATGCTCGCTTCATCTGCATGGCTACACCGAACGCCGAGATCCGCGCGACACATTCTCTTCAGGGTCTGCCATCGGCCTCATGATGGGGATAGGCAACGTTGGTGCTCATCTGTCTGGCAAGGACGAAGCGGACACATTCATGACTCGGGATGGCGGAATAACCTGGAAGTCCGTGAAAAAAGGGCGACATATGTGGGAGTATGGCGACTCCGGGTCAGTAATTGTGATTGTTCCCGAGTCTCCACCAACAAAGGTCCTTTATTATAGTCTTGATGAGGGCGACAATTGGGAACCCTATGAATTTTCGGACGTCGAGATGCAAATTTATCGCCTGTCAACCGTTCCGTCCGACACTTCCAAGAATTTTCTTCTCTGGGGAAAAGAAGTGGAGTCCAACAGACTTGCCACGATTAACGTTGACTTCAGTGGTCTCCGGAAGAAGTCATGCAACTTGGTCGAAGATGGTCATGAAAGTGACGATTATTACCTTTGGGAACCCAAGCACCCCTTCCAGGAAGATAATTGTCTATTCGGCCATGTAGAACAGTACCACCGCAAGAAACTGTCCTCCCAGTGCTGGAACAATTGGCGCGAACCTCATGTCCACAGTATCGGAAGGAATTGCACCTGCACAAGAGCTGACTATGAATGGTGAGCTGCTAATACTTCTCTTGATTTTGTTATTGGCATATCTGACCACTATTACAGTAATTACAACTATGAGCCCCAGAATGATGGTAGTTGTGCACTAGTACCCGGCCTTCCCAAGCCTGACGCATTAGCTGTGTGTAGGGAAGATCCTGATAGGGTCGAATACTGGGAGCCGACAGCGTACCGACGGATTCCACAAACTACGTGCGCGGGCGGGTTGATTTTAGATCATGTCGTTTCAAAGCCATGTCCCAGCAAAGAAAAGGAGTATGAGAAGAAGCATGGTATAAGTGGAACTGGCTTATTCTTTGCGATAATGATACCAATTGTGGTGGCAGCTGGTGTTGGGTATTATGTATACGCCAAGTGGGATGGCAAATTTGGCCAAATTCGCCTTGGAGAGAATGCTGGTACCTATGAGAGCCTACTCTCGCGAGAGTCACCTATAGTGACTGTGCCAATCGCGGTTATTGCGGGTATTGTGGCTGTTGTCAGAGCACTTCCCCTTCTTGCCATGAGTTTGTGGCGCAGCGCCAGCGGCTATGTGCGCCTTGGGCGCAACAGGGCTTATTCAAGGCCATACGCATCGAGGGGCTCGTTTGCGGCCCGAAGAGGCGATTATACCAGTGTCGTCGATGATGAAGATGAGCTTTTGGGCGTGGATGACGCCGAGATTGATGAAGACGACGAGCTTTGATCAAGCTTATATTTGCTACTGCCGAAGGTGATGAGGTTGTGAGATTAATCTGATGTTTCCTTGAACATGTACCCTGTGCCGGTTTAAGCCCTTGTTACGATTTTCAAGAGTCTCTGAGAAGATATCGACATATTGGTAATTGAATAGAAAGAAATGTTGTTTCAGCTGAATACCGTATCCCAATGCAGGTCTTCTCTGGGAGTTTCTCAGTGCTATGATATAGGCTGCTGATCATTGTGGATTGATTTGCATGGTGCATTGAATGTCTCGCGCAACGAGACCCAACCCAATATTTGTATTTTGAATGAAGGCTCAGTTATGTCAGACAATTGCCATCAATCCTATTCATGGGAGACAAAAATGCATCTAGATATCGAACTGACATGCATTGCCTGGCAAATCCGACAGGCCTATCGAGGCAAGTCATCCGGTCCGAATGAGTCTGGTAGAAGCTAAAGTGACAGGGTCAACCGGAGCAGTTCCCAACTACGCATAAACAAGCAGCAATGTGGAAGAAAGAGTTTGCAATGAAAGGACTGCTTACCTCTCCCATTGTCCTTACAGCATAGTTTCCCTGCCCGTCATACATGAAAACAGGAAACGATGGGGATGTAAACTCGCGCATGCTAGTAGATAAGAAAGTAAGAAGATTAGTGAACTGCCTTGCAAAACTGACTAAGGCCAAACAAATATGAAAAGAATGCCTGTTCAGATCAATGCCACTAATAGAACCAGGCCGAGGTGAACGCAAAATCGATAGATTTAGATCTAGGTCTGGTTCGGTAGCACTTACAATTGCCTGCACATACCACATGGCGATGCGCCAGGTGTGATATCAGTAGCGACTGCAACAGCCTTGAAATCATGGTGTCCGGCGGCCTGTATAACATCAGACCATATGAGACTGCTCTTCTCACGAAGTTTCGAGGGCAACCGCATGCATTGACCCTAAGAAGCCATGTGGACAAGGAGACTCATATCAAGTACTTACGACCGCGGTACCGAAAGCTACCCTTTCCGCACAGGTCCCAACAGGATATGCGACATTCTCGACATTTGCACCAGCAATATACTCGCCAGTCTTAGTGAGAACACATGCGCCAACGCGGAATTTGGAATAGGGACCTGCACAATTTTCAAAACTTGCCCCATACATAGGTGTTAAAGAAAGGATTTCCCTCCATGTGATTGAGGAATGATGTTTGTTGTGGAACATACAATAAGCATTGGCCTTTGCAGCGATGGCCTTCGACGAGAGTGTCTCTAGTTCTTGCGTTGTAAGACCTGATAGTGTAGTCATTGTTAAGGACAAAGATTAAAGTAGGCAAGCGCACTTATAGATAGAAGAACAAAAGAGCCTTGATGGACACGGGCTATCTAGACTGTAGTCGCAAGTGAGGTAGGTGCAGGGTCTCTAGTGGCGATTCCGCAGCGAGCTGTTCCCAATTTTCTGCCCCGCCTTCTGGAAAAAGTGGACAGTCCTACCTCTCTATAGGAAGTGGAAACAAGGTAGACCGTTAGATTGACCAAATTTAGCATAAGTGTATTCATGGAGAATCTCAAGAGCATTTAACCAGTCTGCACAATGATATGCTTTTCTATGCTTTGATCCTTACATATGGTTTCCCGGCCCTAGTTCAATGTCGTGGGTATTTGTGCCACAATTCAGAATGAAAGAACAAGTATGCCTTTTGTAAAGATGCCAATACCAGATTGGCCCAGAATATTGACTGTCGTAAAGCAGAAGTAGACAGAAGAGAAGATCTATACATCTAGTGAGGTATCATAAACGCGAGCAAGCTAGAAAGGGGGGTGGGGAGGGAAAAGTCAATGGGAAGACACAGGCAAGTAATAAACAATTATGCTCATGAGAAATAATTCCGCAGCCCTTCATATATAGTGAAGATGAACGCTGAGCTAGGGGCAGACCGAGCACATGTAATACCGCAGCCACGATACAATGCCCTCAGCCCCTGCTGCTTCCATAAAGCTCTGCCAACACTCCAGAATGTTTGCCTCTTACCACGATTTCCTGCACTATTGATGTCCTCTGTCTGCATCCGTGATTTGACTGTATCAGCCGGATAGAACAGGAAATTGTAGCTTATACCCGCTGCGGCCCCCGCGATCATTTGTTGATAGATTGGAAGTGACTCAGAGTCGCGAGGCGATGCTGTTGAATGGTACTTTCGAAAGAAAGCCGATACTCCTTCATAGCCTCCAAACCAGGCGGCTCCTCCTCCGGTCTCACGAATCAACGTTCCCATCTGGCCTCTCCAGAAACCAAGAATACCGTCCTGACGAAATATAGCGGCGACGAGAATCAATGGCCCGGGCATCTTGCTGCTAGAAGCTTCAAGTGGTACCTGCATTTTGCATTTGACGAGCTCAATCGGGGTAAGTGCAAGTGAGGTGATAGACCCGGAAGCAGCACCACTGAACAATAGAGCTGAGAAAGGCATAGAATCCGCCGTAGGGTAGCAGGTGGTCCTAAGAATATCCTGAATGATGCGGTAGCTGAAAAAGAGGCAGCTATTCTCTATGGCAGCACCTGCCATTGGGGCACTAATGCCTCGGTAGAGCCCTCGTAGGCCATCCGCCCGAATTGATTGGCGGAAGCAGTCCAAAGGGCCTTGGTACCGAAGTGGAATATGAGCTGGTTGTGATTGAAGCCGCACTTTCACAGTGTCGAAAGGATATTCAATGACCTTGCCAGCCATTCCAGCTGCCTAGATGATTGATTTGAGAGTGAGCGATATTCGTTTAGACGTGAAGAAGCCAAGCGCTTACAGATCCAAAGATTATGTCTTTGAACGCCTCGAAACCCCGGTGAGGCGGCAGGACAGGCAGCTCCATTGATTTCTCATTATCGATCGCAAGCACATGTTCTGCGGCCGCCATTAAGGTTCAGGGAACGAGCTGTGGAGCTCTGAAGTGCAGGTGACGGAAGAGAATAAGCCGCGAAAGAGATGGAAAAAGCGAAGGATGCAGTGTAAGACCTATTGGTGAAGCATTGTATAGGTCAGATTTTCCAGAGGAGAAGCAACGGGAGGGGGCGGTATATATGGATTGGATTGATTTCGAATTATCTTCTGTGCCCGATCAACACTCGGTGAAGCCGCTAAGTGTGCATCGCTTATGAGTGGGAATAGGCCTCAAAGGCCAATGCACATGATTGATTCAGAGGCTGTGGTGGAGACTTGTTTCTGTGGCGCTCTATTGCGACGGTAAATCTCGCGAACGGGATGGAATGAGCGAGGTTCGATTGAGGCATTTCTTCTTCAGGCGCCAATGGAGGGGATCGGACCACACCTTCAGCCGAGATCCGGTTATCTGATCGGTCTAAGATAACTTTTTCCCTCAAAAAACTGCGAGCCGCTAATAAAAATTAGTTACTGAAAAGATCGTAGTTTTATTAAGGTAGTGCCACCACTACAACTATTTCGTACTCTGCTCCGTACTGCCGTAGCCCGTTTTCCTTCTCAGACCAGGGCCAGTTCTTCTCCTCATTCTTGTTACAAACCCGTCCTTCCATAGTTTCTTTCATAATTCTGCTGACAATGTCGTCGGCAATCCCAACCTCATCTGTCAACCCCGTCAAGGGTATTAGAAAGAACGGTACGGTCTTATCCCCCTCGTCTCTTACATTACTGTACTGTTCCTTGAATGGTTTTCAGTCGTTCTACTATTGCCTCGAGCTGCTCCAACTGATAGACTATCCGTTTCCACAGGCAAAAACTGGCACGATTCCAAGAAACCATTTCGTCCCACTTCAGGCCTGACAAGCTATGAGAAAAGGCTGGAAGCACGCAAGCGTCAGGAGGCAGTTAAGGAACACGAACGTGAGCTGAGGGAAGAAAAAGAGGCTGAACGGAAGGTAGGGAGAAGACGCAAAGCTCTTCATGAAGATTCTCTGTTGCTGACGATACTGGTCAGGCCCAAATACAGAAGATCAAGGATCGGAGAGCTGCCAAGGAAGAAAAAGAACGCTACGAGAAAATGGCAGAGAAAATGCATCGCAAACGAGTTGAGCGGCTGAAACGAAGGGAGAAGCGTAATAAGCTACTCCACTCGTGACAGCATTGCCTCATTGCCTGTCATGAATTATCTACCTCCTACCGGCAGTGTCCGCATCCCAATTCACCACCGTACCCTTCACATTTGCGGCAGATACCAGGTTCTTTTCTTTTTCCTCAGTTCTTCAGTTCTTCAGTTATTGCATTACTCAAGAAATTGGCGGCGATGCAGGAGTTGGGTTGGCTTTTACTTGTTCAGTCTCTTCTGACCTGATTTGTGTGACATGCAATGTTTCGAGGAGGAATATCTCGGTGAATATAGGTCACGAATCAAAACGACATTCTCAGAATTCGCAATTCCATCTTTTTAATAGCTTCTCAAGACACTTGCTCGATCAGAGCTGAAGATATTGATCAGGGTGAGATCTCGCATGTTGCAGCTATGTCATTGAGGAGGTGTGGTTCTTAAGCCTTAGAGAGTCTACAGCACAAATCTAAATATTCTGCTTCTGGGAATCTGGAGGATGTCCGACTATGTTTCAAAGAAGAGAAATAGTTCCGACGAAGGGTGCACGTCGATTTGTACAGATGGATCGTCCTCTCGGAGCTACCATTGCAGTGCCCGTCACGGCTTACCCAAACAAACTCTCAAAAAGGCGCAGGTTCAAGACCCACATACTCGATGACAACATCTACTTCGCTCGCAGCAGACATAAGACAGTTATCAGTGCAGAAAGTCTTCCAAAGTACAATGAACTTGGCCCAATTTTTATTGTCTATTGATTTCAATGCAATTCGAGGAAATCGCTCGCACGACCGTCAAGCCGTCGAGATCCATCAGCCGGCTGAAACAGTGATAAAGACAAATACAGCTAGTCTGCACTTTCCCGCCAAAAATGAGTCGCTCCGTCACTCCTGCTGATGCCAGAGGCTCGTTGCCAATATGGACGGGAGCGCAAGGGTCAGGCGAGGGTGATGATAAACTGCTCAAGCCGACGAGCGAGACAACTCGATCGCGTTGGGGATCAGACTCTACCACGGGGTTGGTGTCTGGAAATGGAAAAGGCACTTTACTTGGGAAACATAACAACCAGAGGACTGATTCCCTGACGGCACACGATGTGCGCTCATTGGAGGATCTAGAGCTGGTGAAGTCTAGAAGACAACAAGGAGAGGAGTAAGGTCGTTCCAACGTCTATTGACAAACTATCTGACTTAAGCAAATCGCTTAGGTACTTACGATCCGCCCTGTCTACGATCGGCACTCTCGCAACAGATATTACACGCAGGTTGGATTATACATACTACAGTCTGCTCGAGAAGATCGCTGCTCTCACTTCAACATTTGCATCTTTTCAGGAACTCGCCGATTCCGCATCAACAATATTTAATGACTTTGAGCGGGAGACATCTGTGTTGGATGGGGATATTCGGAGACAGATTGGAGACCTGAAGGATTTTCAGCCCCAGATGCGAAAAATAGAAAGGCTAGAACAGCGTATGCGATCAGGGAAAACGAAAGCCGACGCGCTTGGGAAGAGACTAGAAGCAATCCGCAACCAGATCGATCTTTGGGAGAAAAGGGAGGTGGAATGGCAGACACGAGTTGGTCGGCGGCTTCGAATCTTTTGGGTTGTTGTTGCTCTTACCGTACTGGTTTTCTTCCTCGTTCTCATCAGCCGCAAATCCTCGGCAACTTGTATTCCTGGATTTGAGAGCCATCTACCCGCTGAGATGGGGGACAGACGCCCTTCTGCACTATCCATCCAACTACCGAAGACAGCTTCTGGCGAAGTATGGTCTCGATTTCACTCTGGCAGCAAGTCTCATCCGGGATGTTATCGGAAGTCCCATTCGACCCCTACACCGACATCTCCAACATTCAATGCAATGACAACTCGTGCTAGCTCGGATTCCCTAAGAAAACTTGATGAACTTTGATGGAAGATCATGCCAGCCAGCGACAGATGTTGTTGCTCGGAGTGATCTTGCGTCACACTCTCATATTGTCGTTTTGAATTTCATATTGTCAGGATACTCAACATGTGGGGAGAAAAGGTCCCAGAATTGGACGTTCAGCTTCACAAAGTCATCGTTTCAGCCACTTGTCTTCTTCTTCTTATCCTCGACAAGCTCGATGTTGGATTCAGGAATTTCCTTCCCATATACTTCCAGAAGCCACTCTTGAACATCCTCACTAACGTCACCTTGCACTGTGATTTCCTCGACCCCTGCGGGTGACTTCGTCACTGAGGAACCAGTAGCGAATTTCTTTCCCAGTTCCTTTGCGACTTTCTTGTTTTCCAAACCATGTACTTCCAACCCTGTGATAACGGTGACATGTTTGCGTTTGTTGCGCTCAACACGCTTGATCTGAACCTTGGCCGCTGCCTTCCGCTCTGCGTCGCGTGCTTCAGCAGCAGCAGCTTTCGCTTCCTTCTTGGCGGCGTCTTTGGCTGCACGCTCCCGAACGGATACTGACAGCTCGGACAGATTGGAGCTGAGGGCTTCTATACCAGGAATCTCTCAGTTGGCCTCTCACTACTGCTTGATAGGCGAAAAAGATGGACAAGCATACCTTCCGAGTATAACCGCTGATATAGATCTGCATGATTATCCTTCAACCATTCTTCGCACTTCTTTGCGGTACCGCCGAATTCACAGTACTGGAACACTTTCGAGTTAATATGCTGCAATTATCTTTATTACGGCTGCCTGCGCCCTGCTTCGATACGGCGAACAAGGGAAATTCAGGTGGACGTGCTGATAGGAAGGCTAAGTGCCCGTACCTCTGGAGGCAGTGTGCAGACTAGAGATTGCCAGGTTCAGTTTTGCAATTATAGGAAACGGACCGAGCAGGGATATTCGAATCGGATTGAGGGCCATGGGACTTACCACCACAATAGACAACTTGTTTGGCCTGAACCTCGGCAGGAGAATTTTGCGCTACCTCAGCCATCTTGATATGAGTTTCCGAAATCTAAGCTCAGGTGATAGGTGTACAGAACAACTGTATGATGGATATTGATACAACGGAGTGCGGGGCCATCGAGCCTAACCGCTAGTAGCTAGACACTTGTCTGAGGTGCGGTCATGTGACATCAGTATAATAATATGCTCTGTGGTGAAGTGACTCGCGCATCAGAGTATTCGTCTAATTCAACTTATGAGACCCGAGTCTATTGCAGCTCTAGTCTTGTTGTTGTTCTGCTACTTCTAGGATTTCAGTCTATCGCCCCCTGTGCAGTTCTGCAAGTTTATCAAGTGGGGGGTCTGCAGTTTCCCATTGCCACAGTGATCTAGTAATGTACCCCCGCGCGCTTGAACCCTTGCTGTGGCCAACGCTTGCGTTACTTTTCGGATAGGAAGGTTCTCCATAGATAGATATGGCAGCATAACAACCAATGGATGACCCCACGCACGCAACGGTTGTGGGCGGAAGTTGTTCTGGATGTTATGCATGAGCACAGGCGCTCGCTCATGGTAAGTAGGTTAGTAGGCATTGAGTCGCTTCGTCGAATCATATCCGGAGTTCTGCTGACAGCACCCCTGGTAAATCATAAAGATAAAAATTCCTACCATAGTAATCTAGGACGAATAAGCAGATTAGCTTGATTAATGGTTTGATTTACCCATTGAAGTCTTTTATCACAAAGAAGCTAGAACAGGAGCAGGTCAGATAAGGATAATGAGTTGCTGCTTGGTGGTACTCTGATTCCTGAACAATTCTTTTCATCAGGCCTGAATTGAGTCTAGTGAAATAGAACCAGGATGATTACGGTGAGGCGCAAGTTGTGAAACGTCCTCCTAAGGATCTAAAATAGTCATGACGTCTCCGCCAACGCAATGGTGAGGGGGTAATTGACGAATCGCTTTGTGGTATCCATGCGCGCTACTCCTTTACCACGGTGCTAAGGTAGCGCTCAGAAGACAATCAAAAGCTCTAGAACTGATAGGCAGAATCCCCAATAATAATACGAATCCAAAATTGCCATTGCAGTGCTGATAAGCGATCTAGACGATTCTCGTTCAGAGGCCTCATCTCCATTTAGACATCTTAGATATACGAGAAGACAGAATTGGACTGCTGTCATCGAGCTTCCTTTTCAACTACCCCAATTCTTCTCATAAACAATCAATTGCTGACCTGGCAATAACCAAACCAACTGGTAAGCTAGATGTAATGGGGCCAACCGTCTTCTGGTTAAACTTTGGCGATCAAGAACTGACAGGGTGAAAGAATCTAGCTTCGAATAGCCTGGAGCTGTTATCCGCCGTATCATATGCTTCCCTCTATTGTATGCTATCATTATTGCATCGAGGCGTATATGGCATGCTGCATCGTGGCCGAAGGTGTGCACAGATCCTTCGGGTGTGGCACAAGAAAGCCCCGATCATCAAGCTAGTGGCGCTGCGCAACGGACGGTTGGACAAGATATGACATGACGGCCCATTGAGACCGGAAGAGATGTGGCAAGCTGCTTGTTAATAGCATAACTCACGATTCAGTAGAGTTTCTCTGGAAAGGCGCTGGGAACAGAATTTGACGGCTCCGATAGAATCCGGGAGGAGATGAAGTGACATTTGCATATTGCGTAGGGAGGACATTTCAGTCCACTGAAGTGTAACAAAGTCGGATAGACCTCCTGCAGGTTTCCAACCATGCTCTCCAACGTCAATCGACCATTGGATAGCTCGGATTTCTGGTCTAATTTATGCAGCAGACATGGTTCAAGTTGCGTTATCTGTCTCTCAGTTTCCCTAAGTGTTTCGACTTTAGTCCCAGAGTCCACTTGCCTGTACCATACACCCATGGTCATTCATTTCTAGGTGAATCAGCGGCCATCTATGCAAAGGCAAAGTTAACAATGTCTAAGTAAGAATAGTAATATGAACTATATTTGTATGTGTGTCCTATCTCGGCGGCATCCATCGGAAAACGTCCCGTCATACTCCGAGAGCAGCATTCCGGCGAATCATCGTATTTACTCTCTCCACTACGAAGCACAGACGCTACTCAAGCCGTAGCTTTGGTAGCCGATCACAGATGGAAGTGCGTCTCCTTTCGCCGATCGACACCATTTCCGGCTTCAGTTTGACAGCCACGATAACTGCACAAGCGAGTTAGGAGACTAGAAACCATTGTGTAGCGGATCAATATCATCATGACTGCCCTGACATAAGTCCTCTGTTGTTATTCATATTTATATCTAAACCTAGCATTACTTCAAGGCTGCACCCGATTAGATCGAACCATCTGATGATTTCATCTGCGACAATGAGATTCAGCTTCTACTTCAGGAGTCAAGAGTAGATAGATCATAGATAATAACTCCCTTCTCCAGAACCGTTTTGCGCATTGTTTTACTTTCTCTCCCCCATGGGGGGGTCCGTGGTATATTTTATGGAGTACATGGAGCAGTTTGTTGACCAACAGCGAGCCACTACGGACTAGATATCTGCCTGGGTACCTTTAGATTTGCTTCTAAGTTCATTTAGCGCTAAATATTAATCTGTTATCTTCTATCGTGGATCTCGACCCGCCAACGCTCCTAGGGTCTGGAGCTCTTAAGAATTGATGGACAACCCCCACTTGGACGCAGACGAAAGTTCTGGCAGCCACCCAGATTACCTAAGGAAGACAAGGGTCGCCCAATGAGGTCATGGAACCTGCTGGCCTTTCCCCACTTGACCAAGGTACCTAAGGTACCTTAGGTATGGTTGTGCTTTGTTGAACGTTCAGCCTGCCTAGATTTCAGCGTCGGAGTGCTCAGGACATTGTTATTGTGCAAACTACTGTAGATACTCTGCCAGAGGTACTCACTCCGTACCTAAGTATCAAAAACTCATGTCGTAATTGCCTCTCTTACCCATGGGTTACTCCCATCCTGACATACACATCCATCTAGATACATTTCGGGTACATTTATCCTCTATTAGTTATTGTGTGATAATTTGTCTATCTCAAAATAGTCAATTACGCGCTCAGCAGTCCATCAACTATGGTATCATCCCCTCGTATCAAACTCTTGATTACTGTCCGATAGTCCGGAACCGAACTCAAAAGAGGGGACTAAGGACCATGCAAACCGCAAACAGACATTAGCATCTCCACTTCCTCCGCCATGACCTCTTCCTTGCTTTGCCTTTTTCGAAAAGAAACCCGCCACTTCCTATCGATAACTACCTGACTCTTGTACTCCGTACTAACTAAACTCATCTGTCTTGACCCCTGCCCAGTGTCCACTGATGGATTCCAGGCTTTCGTTTGAAGAAGGCGTGGCACAAAGGAAAGAAGGATGAGAACCAAAGGACTTTGACGTTGTTAACATCAAAACTCTCAAAGTATCTCCCCGTCTTAGTTGTCCCTCGAGTTTTCAGAATCTCTCATGATCGATTATCCTCTCCTGTCTATAAGTTCCTCCTTCGCATATCTGAGTTGCTCCCTCGGATCGTCCTCGATTGAATATATACATATATATATTTCTTTGCCTTTCTATCTTTTTTTCTTTTTCCTGCCAGGCTTCTCTCTTGTTCAATTGTATCGAGCTTTTAATAATTCGTCATCCCACTTCCACAGTTTATCTTCATTCCGAAGTCCTTTGATGACTGTGATCTCTCCACCCTCAGTACGATGATTGTTGTGCTACCTGTCTCGCGGGAAAAACGCTCTCAGTCTCCTCTGAATCTCCAGCGACGCGCCATGGCCCAAACTTATTACCTGGACTCACCTGATATTGCCATGTTCAAAAATCCCCCACTCCATTACTCTCCGCGAGATTGTCCCAGTCCGATCACTTCCTCTTGCCCGTCCTCGGTTCCTCCCTCACCTCACTTCGCACCAACAACTGAGCAGCTACCTCCTACTCCAGCAACCCTCAGCAGTTTGTCTCTCTCTGTGAGCAACGATAGCGACGACGAGATCATCCTACCTTCATATG